CTGCGTTGAGTAACTCTAATCGCGCAAATAATTGGTTTCTTGAATGTGGAAAAACGAAATTTTTAGATCGAGAAGTATTTAATGTCCGTCAGATACAACAATTCATCTGAGAGAAAAGACAATTCAAACTGGTAGGATGGATATGTATCTCCAGTATCGTTATATAATGTCATTCTGAAGAATTAATGGGAAAAATAAAATATTACGATACTATTTCAAATACGCAAATCCATACAGCAGAACCCCAAAGCCGAATAGACCGCAAATGGCTATCGATGTACTTTTCCACAGCACGCCCTAAACATGATTTTTCAATAGCCAGATAACAAACGCGGTTCCGCCGATCGCTTGTGTAAATGGTAGCTGAAGCATTGGGGCAAAAAATGTTGCTGCCAACCCGATGAGAAATGCAATGAGTTGTAATTGCCAATAAATATGGTATTTCCATTGGCGACCGGTATAATGTCAAGAACTAAGAATGATCAATCAGATAGAATAGACAAATGTGCCGAGAAACAGTAGTGGATGTGTAAACGGAATGGTCAGGATATTCGATCGTTGCTGAAGCTGTAAAACAATACCGATCAGCAATAAAATCAACGAAGCAACTTTAGCAATGGGTATTACACTTTTATTGTGAAACCCAATCATATTAATCAATTTTCCAACGAACATTACAGATCCGAACTTGATTCCAATGCCATGAGTGCGAAATAGCCAGCTTCTGGACCCTGATGGTAAACGGCCACGGTAGCTCATACAAAAAAACAGAGGCAGGACATGGTCAAACCGATATGTTTTGCTGTTTTGAGAAATGCAATGTGACCGTGACGGGACAGTGTGGTAAAAAATATAAGACCTCAAAGAAAAGTCACTCATGTATTATTCATCAAAGTCAATAGGTAAATTGAAATAATGTAAAACAGTATTTCCCAAACAGCTGCTGCAACATGGATCAGCACTGGTATAGCGAAAAGAGCTAATAATATTGTCAATGCTATAACGACAATAACTCCAGCTGGAATTGCTATTACATTCGAAAAGGAAATACACAATTGTTTCGAAGTGAGAAATTCCTCTAATGTTAGAATATCTTTACTGGCAACAAGTTTCGATGCAAGTTCAATATACGCATTTTTCTCTTGAGCTGTAGCCTCCGAAGTTATGATGCCACGTTTCTCTAGATTTGTAATTACATCGTAATATTGTTTCAGTTCAACGACAGATTGTGGTAAAGAGCATCACTGTGTTGTGCTGGTTCGCTGTAGTATTCAGAGAGGCCAGGAGGGTACTGACTTTCTCGTAGAATGCTAATAACTCCTGATGTAAGAGAGATGAAAACTCTTTCTTTTTACCAAAGTGTAGCCCATATTCTCTTCTATCTATGCTATGAATTTGAAATGTTAGCTCTTTATAGTTACTAAAATACAGCTGTTTTACGACCGGAGCCACTTTTGAAGTTTGAGTCCCTCTTCAAAAAAACTCATAACTCAATCTAGAAACGTTATCTCCACTTCAAAAATGCGCCAGATACTCTAAAATGTTTTTAGATCATTTACACAAAGTATGAGGGCTAACTATTGCATGGTTCGAAAAATCCACTGAAAATGAGCATTCACTATTGAAACATACATAGGAAGAAAAGGGTGAGCAACTAAGGGTCATCCATTCTACCATAACTTCTGTGGTTAATGTCCGTCATAATCATGTAAAAGTATAGTAATAAAACCTTAGGGGAAAAATATTCATATGTAAAATACTGTCAAGCAGCCTTCACACTCACCCTAACCCCAAGTCATTTCATTTATTTGTATCTTTCTCACTTTCCATGTACTTACCAATAAAATTAAAAACATATTAGAGTTCAGTACACAAAACTGCATCGTCGCATCTTGATATCTTTTTGCGTTCGAGAGTTATTCGGAAATCAGGAAACTTAAAAAAAGCTCCTGAGAATTCCGGCCGCTTGTGAACAAAGGGTTGATAACGTCACGCTGGATAAGTTTGCTCCTTTCTGCTACTGCGTCATATTGTATAAAGAAATATGGCCAGAAAAGCAACAGCAAATTTCACCATCCTGTGGTAAATGCATGCGTCTAACATGTTATGATCGATTGCGTATTCTTGGTTATGATCTCCTACCGAATATCAGGAGATAAGTGGTTCGAGTTCCGCTCTCGTATAATCATTTATGATGGTGTCTCTGGTACATGTCATACTCTATCAAATCTTGCTAGCAAGCTATGAGCTGTGTCATTACTTATGATGCGAAATGGATAAGCGTGTCTAACCTAACTATCTAATGATGAGTTTTTTAACATCGCGAAAAATTCGTTACATTACGATTGATAACAAAACAATATCTAATCCTTTTTCAAGACCAATACTTGATTTTGAAAAACTTACTCTAAGAAACATATATCGTTGCCTTGAATCGATTTGCATCTTTTATTGGAGCTTTGTGCGTATATTCTAGTGACTTGTGTTTTCAAGCTCTACCGAGAAAGATGAACAGTTCAACGTTGTCAGCGAAGAGGGTTGTATTGGCGCACTTAGACAGAATGTTGAAGACGAGTTCATTCTCAACACGACAAGTGGTATGAAAACATCCGGCACTAATACATACACGTTTCGTAGTAAAAAAAACACTCTTGAATCTGGAAAGACAAGACGCAAGAGGAAATGTACTCGTATTTTATGTCTTCTACTCACTCATTGTCTGCTCTCATATGACCTATTATCCAGTATGGTTTCGGATTATATTCTGTGTGATAAGCTTGAATAGTGATCGACGTACTCGACTAATCACCTGAAATCTGCCAAATGTCAATCTGTCGAGATCTTCACCATCGCCATTGACGAACACATTCGGATTTTAGCCCGCTAAATTGCTATTGAGTAGTGTGGCAATATAGATCGACAACTGAGTCTAACAGTTATTTGAAATAATCGTTCCGCAGCGGTAAAATTATTGTAGAAGCTGAAACAAGCGATTAAGTTGGTATTTTTCAACGATTATTTATAAAATGAAATTTAGTGTATTTGAGTTTCATTCACTTGAATACCATTTATTATGGTATGGCGGAAATTGCCATGGTAAAGATCGCAGAAAGAAAACAAAGCGTTGATGAGCGACACTCACCTCAAATGTACTGCTTGTCCAGCTAACGGCATCCATTTTTTCCTCTTTTTCGAAAAGTTATTGCAATAAAGCTGCAAACTAATCTAAAATGGCAACTAGATGATCAAGTAGACTAAACATTTCTCTACAAAATTAAAAGTGTCTCGGCTCTGAACGTTGATTCGTTATGAAAATACAGCTGTTGTACAAACAGCCCCCAAAATAGATTTTTAGCCTATCGGATCTTCGATGCGATAATCAGTCGAGAGTCATGAAAATTGGATTATCTACTATTTTCTTCGATATCGATTTGACGAAAAGTCGTCAACGTTTAAGCAAGAAGGACTCAAGCGGTGTACAGATCGACGAGTAAAAAACTCGATGGCAAACGTAGTGATGAAATATATTTTATGTAGGCAGTCAATGTATTATCACAATGTGGTTCGGTGGAACTGAATAAATTCGATGGCACGTTCCATTGGCAATGTCAAAATCTCAGGGCTGCCAAAAGGGGATCAGGATTGGAGGGAACGAGAAAAAACTTGAAGTATTTGATAATATGACCTTTCCGATTAACAAAATCGGAGCGTGTGTGTGTCAGTGCGGGATGTTTTCATACCACTTGTCGCGTTGAGATTGTGCTCGTCTTCAACATTCTATGTAAGCGCGACAATGCAACCTTTTTCGTTCACAATTGTCAAAGAAAAAGGTTGAAAACTTTGAACGACTACTCTAGCACAATAGGCTCCGACCGGTCACGTTAACAGTTGGATTTGATTTTGACCTTGCACACATTTACACTGCTCGCTGACCTTTCAGTTAAGTGTCGGTCTTTTCTCGTTCCAAGGCCTTCACTCTCATCTCACATCCCTTAGTTAAACCTTTCATGTTTCTTGTTCATATATGAATAGAGAAGATTGATTTCTACTTTATTTCAATTTTTCCTCATTCCTCCCTGTATTTTATAAAGAAGATTACTCTCTGATAAATTTTTTTTTGTTTGGAATTATGGTGATCTAATAACATTACAGGCAGAAATGAGAAAATGTGAATGAATATGACTGTGGCATATGAAGAAAGCAGAAGAGAAAAAGGTCTCGTGTGCAGGAAAAAGGTTACCTGAAAAAAATGGTATTTTACCATCACGTTGTTATCTTTTTCCTGCAAACAATACCTTTTTCTCTTCTGCTTTCTTCATATGGCAGAGTCATATTCATTCACATTCTCTCATTTCTGCATGTAAAGTTATTAGATCGCAATAATTCTAATCAAAAAAAAAATTTATCACAGAGTAATCTTCTTTTTAAAATATAGTAGTCATGGGGAAAAGTTGAAATAAAGTAGATATCAATCTTCTATTTCTATATATGAACCAGAAACATAGACGGTTTAGCTAAGAGGATGTGAGAATGACAGCGGAGGCCTTGGAACGAAAAAGACCGACACTTAATTGAAAGGCCATCGACGAACGAAGTTTTTTCGAACTTACTTCATACTGCATCCTGACGCCAGAAATCAATCCGAGGAACAGTCCCCTAACACTACCGTCCATCGTTTAAAAAGTCTCAGAGAAGTTTTAAATACAACTCGTTGGGAAACTCGTGTCCTATTCCAATTAATTGATTGTCTAACTTTTCCATAATAGGCTAGAAATCGAACGTTCGGGTTGCTTCATCCGGAAGCTATTCAAAAATGATATATGTAGACATATAAATGAATGTTTTTGAAATATGATCTTCGTTACCACAATGATATAAGAGAGACTGCACTCAGCTAAGTAGAAATAGTGGCGGTAATTTCGCAGTGAGTCCGAGTTGCTGAAAAAAGTTTCAATCAAACTATTTATTTGCCATTATTTTCTAATTTTAGTCCAGAGTAAATGGCCGCCGAAAAAGTTGGACTTACTAAAACATGGGCACTCTTTTCTGCACAAGAGAAACGAAACATCTTAATCTACATTTTTGGCATCATGCTTTATAAATTTGGACTGGAAGCATTCAACGGAGCTATCATCACTCTCGCTACGAATCGTTATGATCAGGATGCTTACAATAGCGGAACACCGTCACGTACCTTTGAAAGAGTCGGATTACTTTCTGGTCTTAATCAAGCGTTTCAATGTGTTGGTTCAATTCTTATTGCTCCTCTTATTAAACGTTGGCCAACGCGAACCGTTCTATCAGCTTCAATTTTTGTTTTTGCAATATTCACTGCAGTTCTTATGATTGTCGATGCTGCTACAGGTGGATCTATAAAGCCAACGAATTTTAAACCCATGCATAAGGACGATTTTAGTTATTATGGTAAGTATAAAACTGATGGGATTATACCGATTTATTGCATCACTGGTATTGCCTACGGAATGGTCGAATTGATTCGACGCGTGATTCCAAGGGATATCGTCGGTGGTGATGTTCAAAAGTTGCAAAGAATGGATGCTTTGGTTCATATATTTTATGAAGTTTCGGGTACCACTGGTGCGTTTGCTACCGCTCTTGGTTTGATTCCTCGTTTCGGAAACAACTATGCCTTCATCATTACGCCTATCTTCTTTACTGCATCTGGAATCATTTGGCTGTTTGTCAGTTCCTTCGGATTCAACAAGAATAATCAAGCAGATAAAATCGATCCAGACGAGGATAAATCGAAAACGAATTATTGGAAATCTGTTATTAACAGATTCCTTCTCTTTGGACAATCCGTTTATGTTGGCGCAAAAATCGTATTCACTAATCGAAAATTTGTTTGGTTGTGGAGCGGCTATTCGTTGGCGCTTTATGCTCACCGGTATCTCGAAAATGGCATTGCACCACAAGTTGCAAGACGATACCTTGGCAATTCTGAGTGGTCACAAATTATTGTAGGGGGCTCAAATCTTGGCGAATTACTCGGTGCTTTTTTCGTATTTATGTTTACCAATACGATTAAGACTCCAATGCCTTGGTTACGAATAGATGCTTTGATGTTGCTTATTGTATGGTATATTCCATACTATTACCCTCCTTCTGGTGATGTTAAATATGCCTGGTTTATCGCCGCAACGTTTATTCCCATTTCATTTGGATGGGCTGCTGGTGATGTTTCGCTTGTTGCTTACATTCAATCATCCCTGACTCGTATAGAAACACAGACTAACGATGTTTCCGCGCTGGGAGCCGTCATGGCATTTCTCTACTCGTCCTATATTACTATCTATGCAATTGCGAATCCACTTCTCGGAAAATATATTGACAGCGTTTATAATTCTAGTGGCACTGTGCGACCGGCACTCGTTAATACTGCTGCTATACAGCTGACTATTATCTTGACAGTGGTCTTTGCGTCTACTTTCATTCCAAAGGGTGCAATTGCGTTCAATCCAGTGTTGCTTGATGAGGAGGATTTGACTAATCCAGCCGATACTCAAAATCCGGATTTCATGTTTGATAAAAGTCTTGATCCTGGTAAAGCTGAACAAGGCGTTCAAAAGGAGAAGAGCTTTCAACTGATCACTTATTTTTAAAAAGTTCACGCTATAAAAGATTCAGTCGACTGCTGTTTTTTTTATCGTCTGCCATCAGCCATAGTAGCTAGACGAGTTCCAAATAGAGATTGGAGTAGCTGAAATACTTTCCTATCCGATGAAACGTAAAGCTTCTTCAAAATGTCTAATAATTAGATTATATATAGAAAACCAAAAGTCACTTTTCCCTGTACTGTAGTTCGATCGAAAAACTTTTGGCAAACATTTCTAAATAGAATGAGACGTCTTCGAGCTCTTTACACACTCTGTTTTCATCAAACGATGTTTGATTGACAAAATGCCGCAGAGCTTAAAAGCCAGTAGAATTGACGAAAATAGAGATCCCAAAGACATTTCGAAGAAACTTTATGTGGCATCGGATAGGAAAATGCTTCAAGTACTCAAATCACTCTATGAAACTCGTTTAGCTACTATGACTGACGAAAACAAGCATAAGTTAGCTAAATTTTTGTTCGATGCTTTATGTAACTAGTTAATCCGTCCATTGGATCCCTTAGTTTTTGTATGCATCTTCCACGAATATTTGCTTAGTAAAATTATCACGCATTGCCTTCTACATACCACCCAATACATACTACATTTATATGAAGTATCTCCTGACATTGTGAAACATTCATAGTTTGTAGAGCGCGAGCTGCTGATCATTTTGGTACAATTGGAATTGAGAAAAGATGCCAGCATATGACAACGCCGGTGACTAACTTTTCATGGTTTTTTTAAGCTTAGGGTCTCATGATGGATGGTCATAAATAGGATGCATACGCAGAAATTACGATGTGTATGTCATCAACTTTTCTTTTTTTCTAAAGTTATCTCTGTCAGATTCTACAACAGAGATAAGAGTTGGAAAAACCTGAAATGGTAAGTGTATAGTAAAGCTAGAATATAGAATATATTTCGCCGTTTTAATTAGAGAAGAAGAACGATGGTGGATACGATAAGGATTCGGTTTAAGTTTTGGTTCCAGAACTGTCTAGAAATCGCCTTATTATTTTAACAGTGCTCTATCCCTTTGCCGACCGTAATGTGACCTAAAATCCCGGTCAATAAATTCTGGTCATTGATGGTCTAGTGTTATTATAGAATAAAACTATTTAGATAATGTCTATTGACTACTATCCATATGATTTAAACTGCTATTGTTTAATGATAAGACAAACAAGGTGAAAATATGTATCACTAGGAGTCATGCTAGTGAATTTATGTATCCCATGCTACATGATATACAGAATGAATAGACCAAAAATCCCAAATTGATTAGGAGAATTGTAAATACATTCTTAATCATTTGAGTAGAAAATGAAATAGAGGCTTTTTGCAGAGTGCTGCTTTCTCTCTCTGACCGCAAATATACCGATAATTTTACCGGCATATGAAAAAAATGTAGAGAAGTGATGATAAACACAAAATTTAAGGCGGGTCCGATTGGACCCTCAAACAGTTCTCACTGGTTAAGTGTTATAAAAATTTTAGTATGCAGATTATTACTTTTTTTTACAACATTTTATCACACGGAACAAATTTTCATAAAATTCTACGTCCTTGTCGTTTTATTAATACCATCAGTATGTTGTTCATAACTGCTTTTGTATCATTTTGTTCGTTCGAGAGCGTTGCTAAGACGATTTCAACATCGTATTATTCTGCATTTGATCATATGCACGCTTACACATGTAGATAATTTAGAACAGCACTATCTTTTATCTGCATTATTTATCAAGATGGCTGATGAGCAAAGGGATCGAATCCGACCACAAACTTATTTTGCTTCTATTTAAATCAAAAATAAAGTATTTTTGTCTTCTTAGTAGTATGATGCAAATATACCCACGAAGTAGTTTAATCCAGTGTGTTGGAGATTTACGCCTAGTTTTTAAAATGTAGACCCCCTTAAATTGTCGACCCTAAAAATTTTTTGGAAGACTAAAACACACGTTCTGATTCAGCTCGATGAACTCTATCGACCCATGTATAAATATCGAAAAACTAAAATACTCTCAAGTTTTGAATTTACAGCACCTTATCTCTTTTGACCCTTGACAACTGTTTGGGGCTCCAACCGGATCCAGCTTAAATCTTGTGTTTATCATCACTTCCTTATATCTGTTTCATACGCCGGTAAAATTGCTGGTATATTCGCGGCCAGAGAGACCATAAGCGGGGGCGGGGCGGGATGCGGCAAGTCTGAATCGAACAAACACTATTCAATCTTCTGATGCCTTTCCTAGTGGATTCCACTGGACTCGTGAGTAACTGTGTAAGGTGAACAGCTGTCAAGGATTAAAACTTCATGCATTTTAGGTAAAATCTTGTATTTTACTAAAATTTCGTGGTTTTTTACTAAGACCTTTCGATTTTCGGGTAAACTCTAAACACCCGAACCGGGTTTTAAATCTTTGGGTCGGATCGGGTTGCACATGTCTATAAGGGACTAAGATATATTGTTGCAAAGATTCGGCACATAGCAGAGCGATAGCAAAGACACGAAGGTTGTCAAAGCAGGAGATACCAGAAAAACAGGGAAAGACAAAAATTGATATAAGCTTCGTTATGCTAGAATACAAGCGAAAAATATTCCATTACAGTATTCTAAACTAAAACTATCGAAAAACATAAAATCCATTTTGTACGAATAGAGATTCGCACACACGAACTTAACTTAAGTAAACTGCAAAACTAAATCAACTGTTCTCTGTCTTACAAAATATAGACTCTATATTCTGTAATACGATTGACGTTGTGCAATCGACTCGATATTACCAGTATTAATTTTATTTTTTGGTCTGTTTTTGAACACAATAAATTTTCAACTTCTTTTTGATTTGTAAGACAGCTTGTTTAAGCCATATTAAATGAATATGCTAAAATAGTTGCATGTAAAGTGTGTTTGATTAGCATATATACCTATTGTATGTTGATATGTCATTCAACTGATACCAGGATACAATGACTTTATCATTCGATACAACAGCTACTTTTGCTCGAATATACTGAGGATGTTTGTAGCCATGTGAAGCGACTAGAATAACACACAATAGAACTCATTCAGTGTAGAATTCTGAAGATGCTTACTTTGTCCAATTCCATAGTAATTCCTTGTAACATTTTCGTCTTTGGTATCGTTTACTTCAATTTGTTTTAATGCAGCAAACGATACTTTTCCTCTAGGGATATTTGGATCTCCAGAAATTTTTATTGCTGTTAATACATTATTGAGAATATCACCACGATTTACAACACCGTTTGATATTGTCAATGGGCAGACAAAATTGTCTGTTGTATTTAGATAGAGAAATTCCGGACCATGTCCTCCGTAATCTCCCACCCAAATGCCTTCTAAACGAGACAGTGACCAATCACGAGAAGAGAGCATCTCTTCTTTTACATTACACTGGATAGGATGATAAATGTGGCAAAAATCTTTGGAACAATTTGATCTGAAGTACAAGTCATTATCCTCAATCACATCTTGACCATGTTCATGTGTTAATAAACCAGACTTATTTTCAAGAAATGTAAGTAAAAATGTTGATAAGCCAAAGCATCTTTCTCCCGGCCTGATGGTCTGAATCCACGTAAGATGAACGGCATGTATATCATTTGGTCCATTACAGAAACACGATATCAGATTGTCTTTGGTAAGATCTATTTCAAATAATCTTGTTCTCTCATATCTCGGTGAGAATTTTGTTTCTTCTGATTCTGGATTATCGTTAAAATCGTTGTCTTCGTCAAGTTCCCATTCGTCTTCGCTAGAGTCTTCGTCCCCACCACTCTGGTACAAATTATTCAAATTATTGTTTCCTGTTATTTTTTCACCTATTATTAAACTTTTTTCATGACACATGTATACATGAACGAGTCCACCAGTTATAGGTGACGACGATTGAGCCCAATATCCAAAATATTTTCCATATGGAACAAGAACATTTGTAAATAAGCTAAAAATGGCACGGGAGTTATATTCATGGATGAGGAGAAAACAAAGTTCATTATCTTGCCTGTAAAATGTATTATGAATTGAAATTAGTGAAGTAACGTTGTATAGTTGTTCACAAAAGGACTTCCATAGTCGATCATCTCTCGTGCTGGAGTAGAAGTACGAATTTACTTGAGACAAACGACAAAGATCATGTGGCTGAAGATATTTTTCAATTAAAAATAGCAACTCGTACGGCAGAGTGCTCAGATTAGACGAATTATCATCGGTCATATTTCTTTGCTAAAAGTCAATCAAAGAGTTTTCACGAGAGTCTATGAAGTAAAGAAAAGTTTAGATCAATAGAAACCGGTCACCCTAACAGATACGTTTTCGCTTTATTCAATATGCGTGTGTCCTCATCATTACAGAAAATACTAGCTTTTTCCAAATTGGCAAACAAAATAGAGATCAGTTGGAGAAATGACAATATTCACTTGCTGTAACGGTTTCTGGTGTGATGAAAGAATACAAAAGAAAAAGTCTTCACAATCTCAGATGGTTAACTCTTTCACAGATATCCAACATTCACCGAATATTCCGCGAACCGATTCTCTCGCCAATTTGTGTAAATATATATTACGAAAACTAAACTTTAGAAAACTAACAAAACAATGGGTATCACTGAACGAATTCGTTAAAAAATTTTAATATAGCTTCAACTTGAAATACTGACATCCTACATAAGTACTTGAAACGCTGAAGCAAATTCACACAATGTCATACAAATATCTTTTATCTTAAACTACTTCTCGAACTCATTCTCACCGCTCTTCCCCCAGCACACACTGTCACAAATACCTAAATTTGTGTTATGAAAAATTGGCGGAGGAGTCGTGTCACGGTTATCAAATATAAACTGGATGTGTTTTCTATAAAACTCACACAGATATGTCTAGAGCCATTCATCAGTATTTAACATATTTACCACCTCAGTCAACGTGTCTGTTACGATCCAACTCAGTTTCATAGTTAGATGATTATTCTCGTACAAGTACGCTTTTAACTTTTCTTATTTTCGAACTATTGTCGATTTAGAAAATCCGTGTGTGACCGCTTTTTGAATAACTTTTGGCAGGAATCAGACCTGCGATTTTCCCCATTCGAAATAGGAGACTTGGAGGCATATTTTCCTAACCAACATTGTTTTCAGAAGGGTTTTCTGAAACAGGTTTTCTAGGAGATCATTGGGAAACCAGGCCATCCGTAAAAGTTTTCCCGTAGGTTGTATTGCTATTTTTTCATGCACTAATAGCTCAGGATGTCCTCTCCAAAATGAGATTAAAGTGAGACCTTAATTTTTCCGTGGTTCGGGCGTTGTATCGAATTTCCTACGAGTCCAAGAACTGGCACTCGGTAATTATTGGTAACCTTAAAGACTGATGAACTTATAGGTAATCGACCATGCTGAGTTTTGTGAAAATATTTACTTTTAGCAAAGTTTTAAAGAGATACCGAAAAGCGAGTTTTACGAAAATCAGGATTTTCAGGCTGTTGTAACCTATATTAAAAAATTCACTGTTCACTTAAAAACATTAGAACAAGCTCAAATCCTTAGGATATGATTAATGTTGTCCGCGTCATTATAAGATCAAAAATATCTAAAAGCATATTTTTATTAATAGGTATTCCAGAAACCCTTTCGGAAAACCTAAGAGTTCTGTAAAATTTCTTTCGAGGTCTCCTATACGCAGGATATAGAATAGCTTAAATACTCTACATTCTGAAGTTTTGAACTCGTTCTGATGTTTTTTAAGTGAACAGTGAATTTTTTAATATTAGGTTACAACAGCCTGAAAATCCTGATTTTCGTAAAACTCGCTTTTCGGTATCTCTTTAAAACTTTGCTAAAAGTAAATATTTTCACAAAACTCAGCATGGTCGATTACCTATAAGTTCATCAGTCTTTAAGGTTACCAATAATCACCGAGTGCCAGTTCTTGGACTCGTAGGAAATTCGATACAACGCCCGAACCACGGAAAAATTAAGGTCTCACTTTAATCTCATTTTGGAGAGGACATCCTGAGCTATTAGTCCATGAAAAAATAGCAATACAACCTACGGGAAAACTTTTGCATAGAACTTTTCATCAATTGTGTTACTCTTTTGTACAAATCCACTAGCACCGAAAATTTTTTCTGGATCCGCCCCTGATCTTTGTTTAAGTCCGAGTATAAGTGACGATGAAAATGCAAGATATTTTGTCCTCACTGCTCAACATATAATAAAAAACTCGAGTTATATTCTTTTGTGCTCTTACAAATGCTAATAAATTACCTTCCCTTGACATATTCTTATTACGTTCTCGTCTGAATAAAGATGATCTCAACACAATCTATACTCCCGTATGTCACAGCAAAATTCAGTTAATAATTTCGTTTAACACATTGTGGCACTTCTCTTTTATCATAGGTATTTTTCTTACTGAAGAATATGCTTTGCTTACATGCTTGTCAATATACTGTCATATGGTATGCACAAGTCAGAAGAACTATCCTATTATTTTTTTCGTACTTCTCTGTATTTTTAGTCCGTCTATTTAATATTCTTTCTGTTTCTTTCTACTATTTGTTATCGTTTACTTCTTCTTTCTATTTGTGCGGTTCTATTCAGGTTTTTTTAACTTTCTCCTTTTACTTTCGTTTCTTGTAGTCTATGCTTACAAAAATGTCAACACGCACAATGTACTGCAGCCACTAGACAGCGACTTTCTACGGTGTTTTCTTTCTTTTCCTTACAACTGCGAAAAGAGCCGTATAAAATAAGAGATATCTTCTTGCTTTTCTGTCCTGCACATGTCCCACATTTCTCGTTCATTTTTGACACAAAAAAACAACAACAACAGAACGAACTATTGTGTCAGAAATGAACGAGAAATGTGAGGCATGTGCAGGACAGAAAAGCAAAGACGATATCTCTTATCTGATACGGCTCTGAAGAAAGTTTATATTAACTGGCGAACACCCTTTTGATCACACAATACATACTTGTTTAACATCACATAGGTAAAAAATGCTCGATACATAAGCTCTCCATTTTCTTCTTGACTTCAGTCTAGGGCCTTACGAAATGGCTGTCTGTGCAAAACACGGAAAAATGGCTGTTAGATACTCCATCGATAAGCCAATCATAACGGAGAAAAATAGAAAATTCCTTTTTAAGCACGAGAGAGAAAGTATTGAAAGAGATGATCTAAAATATCTAATCATGCAGAGAGAAAAAAAGCTAAGCAAACGTTTCTGTAGTTCGCAAATAGATGTCGCTAGAAATCAGTCAGTTATGATAACACAAAGAAGTATTAGTGCTTTTTAGATTTACAGTAAGTTCTACGTCAAACCAGAGGAAAATTTACAACATATTTTAGACAGTTGCCTAGCGAACTCTGCCCGAAGGGAGGCGTGGGCGTTTTCGTCGATTCAAAAGTGATGAAAGATCGTTCCCAAATATAAGTTCCTAAAGTCAAGGGACAGAGCGCGTGTTTCCCATTCTGTGTGTTCGCGTGTTTCCCCGCATGTCTGGGGAAACATGTCTGGGAAACTTTCACAGTGTCAAACAGATGCATTTGGATGGTGTGCTTGATATAGCCGAGATATTTGTCAGATACAGATTACGAGTATAAATTTTGTGTTTAAAATTGTTTCGTACTCGAGTTACAGAATGAAACAGAGCTACAACTCGGAAAATTCTTTTAGTTTTAGAAATTAATTTCTTTCTATAACATAGAGTTATTTTTAAAAATATCTTTTAATATAAATATGTAATTTGGAATATTGGTTATTTTCTTCGCCCACTTCGACATCTTAGAATCGGTTACTTGTATAGTTAAATTAAGCCAACAGATGTAGAACACATTTTCCTTCCTTTTTACTGTAGAGCCTAATCTTAAAACATAGCTCATATTTGGAGCTATTTACCATCTAGAAATGTAAATTTGAAAATCCTCTTCCATTCGGTAAAATACCAAGAAGGGTTTTACATGTCTCTTAAAATCAAAACGCTTCCACGTAAATTCATATTCGTCAGTTTTTATTAATTTTCTAACCTAATTTCCCTAAATGAAATACTTTTCAGGGTTTTGCTTACAGTTTTCCTAACGCTTTTTAACTATTGAGTGTATGGACATGAAACAAGTGGAAGCTTTTTAGATTTAGGAGAAATGAAAAATCTGTTATGGTACTTTACAATCAAAAGAGTATATTTCATACATCTTTACAGGAAAAATTATTGGATAATATAAAGGAATATATCCTTGTTTGTTTCTCTTTGTCTTTTAATTAAATCAAATTACATGTGTTAGTGTTTTAATTTTTAAGAACTCAAAGTCATTGACTTTGAAAGAGGTTATTATTATTATTATTGGTTTGATGTTTAAATGAATTTTTACAATCTATACTAGCTATAATATCTTGTAAAATATTCATATCCTCAATATTTTCTATATCATTGATACAAATATTTTTTAATTTTTCAACTATTTCTCTATCTTTGACTCCAGCTTCTTCGCATAACCAAAGATATTTCTCAATTAAATCTTCATCCGATGGTTCGTTTTCACCAGCCAATTTATCCCATTTTACAAATGACAGACCAGAATTATATTGACTACCATCATGCAGCGTTATGACGATTGTACTTGCATTACTCGTCATAGCCGGGATGTTTTTATCATCTATTGTTTTACCTTTCTCACCATCACCCAGCATAAATGTCGGATCTAATTGTGGATCTATATGAACATGAATTTTTTCTATTAAATTAATTATTTTCTGATCGTTCATTCCGTTCAGTTGTTTTGGGCCGACTCTATCATAAATGAGAGCAGCTGCTGTTGAAAATGATATTGAATATTGTGCTTGATCGCTTGTTTTTGGCACTGTTTGTAACAGACATGTTGCTTCAGGAAATGTGTAGATGTTGATGGTAAAAATTTTATCATCCGTAAAATCTATATCTGGATATTTTCGTTTTAGTTTCTCAATGGCATTCAATGATGGCTGTGCCCAATAACAGCAAGCATGATATTTGTAAACATGAACAATATTGATTCTATATTCTTTTCCCAATGAATCCCAAATGTCAAACAGTAATTGATTATCATCTGTTTTTGTCATTGTTACAGCCGGACTACCAGAAAAGCCTAATTCACCTAAGAGTGCCGATGATATTCCTACGAGAGCACCTTGCCCCAATCCGTCTTTTAACATCGTTGGATAATCGACACATCTCATTATTTGGGATCTTGGTCCGTAATATTCTGCTATGCCCAAAGCATGAGCTGTACAATCAAAGGATAACTTCAACAAACGACATAACATAGCCGAACATCCCAAACTAACCCATGAACCACTGCTGTGTATATCCGACACCGTTACGTGTAATGAATGTCCAGCTCTATAAGCTATTTCATAACCAACCACCAATGTTGTTAAAAATTCTTTTCCAGTCAACTTTTTGTTATTGTTAGTTTTTTCGTAAATGTGTATACACGAGATCAACGATGGTACTAAGGCACAGCCGGCATGTCCTTTTGTATAATGGCCCGTGTCATGCATATCGATACTATCAATAATCCATGCATTGGCCAAAGCAGCACCACACATACTTACGGATTTATTGTTTGAACACCATAATTTAGCTGAATGATAATAATCAGAGGTACCATATTGAGATTCAACAAAATTATGTGCGATGGATGATAACTGTGCTAATTTTCAGAAATTACACGATGAAAGGAAAGAATGGAACAGACAGCAAGAAAAACTGACGCAGGTTAAAGCGAAAAAAGAGGGGCCACAAAGTACGACTTTTAATTTATAAACAGTCGCTTGTCAACTGGCCACCAATACCGCTGCCGATTGTGTCTAACAGTGCACGTTTAGCTTCATGCAACGCTTCCGAAGGAATATCGTCATATTGAACGTTATGAATCCATTCGATTGCATGTGAACTTACGATAGTCTGATGTTCCATTTACGTCACTTAGATAGTGGATCTAAAGTTGAAATTATGATAAGGACGAAATACTGTAGTCGACACCAAAAACAATTACTTTAAGATTACCTATATATTCTATGATTCTAAGAAGACCCTGTTTCTGCTAGAATTTGAGGGGGCGACGATATAGAAGGTATACAGTACGGCAGAGTCCCATTAGAGATAATGGCGCAATAACGTAACAAGCATACCTGCTATACAGCTGTTCGCTCAAATTCTAGCGAAAATTGACCCGGCTTATAAACATAATACATGAACAATGGTAAATAAGAGATCTTTAGAAAATCAGGTCAGAAGTCAAAAACTTCAAGTATGGATATTTTCGGCTTTCTTTCATGTGCAGATAGTTCAAAGTGTTTTCTGCAAATGAGAGCCCATTGACTTAGGTTAATCTTGAAATTCCATGGAACGTACGTAATCGACTACACTGAACCTGATGGTAATGCTTGTTCTCGTAGGAAAATTTCAAAACTTATCGCAACTGAGAATTTCCACGTTGCATTCACCCAATATTAAAAAATCTGCAAGTCACATGAAAAATGTCAGGATGTACGGTATCCAGGCTATTTCATATTGAACTTATAAGAAAAATGACCATACCCAGTATATTATTTTACAGACAGTACATAACCGAATGTTATAAAGCCCGCACACATTTACCGAGCACTGTAAAGCACGTGGAGCTTATAGATTTTATAATAACGTGCAAGATAATCATCAAAAAGAAAAACTTTTTGAGTAGTAATGTTGATACTTTTTTAACAATATCATCGTGACCTACAGCAGTAATCTGCATGTGGAAACATTATCTTTTATTCCTTTCTTTTGGTTTCTCATAAGTTTTCACCTTATTACATTGCTATCAACGTTTCATACGATGTTTCCACTTACATCGTGTTTACACTTCATTTTATTCTCATCACTTCTACGTTGAGTTTTCAGAAATACTCAACCTGTAATCCTACTATTACTCGCTAAACTCAGTTTCAAAATGTATATCTTAATTTTAAATTCGACTGTATATTTACGATTGGCACGTATGCACGAAACGTGGAAACTGAAAACTCAACGTAGAAGTGGTGTAAATAGATGAAGTGTAAACTGTTACCATTATCATATATTTGTCATTGCTCACTACAATTCCAACTAACGGTACTATAAAACATAATATTCGTCTCAACATGCTCATTCCTGATTAATATTTACGTTAAGCTTAATAATATGGATCCGATCAAATACATTAGTGTGATGGTGCAGATGTAATTGAAATGGCTCGTATAGTATAACGTATGATTTATTATATACAAAAGATTAATTCATAATTGAATAAATATCTGAATATTATATATTTGTTTTTCATATGTAATGCAGCCTGCCAACGTGAGATGTACCTGT